GACGTCTTTCAACCGAATGCTATTATACTGTTTTTGCAAAACTAATTTAAAAAACTTGATTAAAACTTAACTATTTAATCATGACTTTTTTTTACTTGAAAATCGAAGTAGATTTTCTAAAGTTGTTGTGACGTACTAACGTGATTTTTAACGAATAACAATCGAGTTTCAATGGTGAAAAAATAAAATCAAAATGGAGTTGTTTTTTAGTGATTTCGGCAATTGCTTTTTGTTAGCATGCATTTATTATTACAATTTAGGGAAAAAGAAAAAAAACTTACATATTTTTTTTTTAATGCTCTTTCATATGAGATCATATGTTAGGAGCACTTAGGGATCCCTTTAATATCTCATTCAATAATTTGTTTTCGAGAGTTTTATTAACTTATAACTTCTAATATTTATCTATGATATGAAAACATATCTCAGCACTTAAGGATCCCTTTAAATAATCAAAAATAGTAAAATTCAATTTTTATATTAAGTTTTTCAAAATTCAAAGTTTAAGTCATTTAGTTAATTCTTAATTTTGTATAAGGTTTTTCAAAAAAATACTAGCTATCCATATATTCATTAACAACTTGTTCTGTAAAAATTTGAAAAACAAAAAGCTATATAAAAATTTGAAAAACAAAAAGCTATATAAAAAATTTGAAAAACAAATAGCTATATAAAAAATTTAATAAAACAAAGAGCTATATAAAAAATTTGAAAAACAAAGAGCTATATAAAAAATTTAATAAAACAAAGAGCTATATAAAAAATTTGAAAAACAAAAAGTTATATAAAAAATTTGAAATAAGCTATATAAAGATGTTTCATATTTTCTTACTGTAATAAAATACTGTAACAGAAAGTTTAAATATTACAACGATTAAAGATTTCAAAATAAAAGTGCTTATATAATTTAATTTTTTTTAAGTAGAACATTTAATTGTGCATTATACTTTTTTATTTTGCTTATATTGAAACAAGTTTATATTATTAATTTATTTTGTTAAGTTTATATAATTTAAGATGCATGATTACACCAAGCAGAGCTCTTATGTGCATGATATATCACAAAAAGCAGGGCTCAAATTACGTGATTGCAAATTGCGGTGTATGGAAATGCTTCCATATATTGTGTTAAAATTTTTAGTTTTTTTAAAAACCTAAATTCTGCTTTTATCACTAAACTCAATAGCTGTTATTCAAAAAAGAAATTTATATTGATCTTGAATTATGATATAAGATCTAATTATAAAACCATAATATTACTATTATTTTTATTATTGTGATTTAAATTTTGATATTTTAATTAATTTTACAAATTTTCAGATGAAATTAGATAGATAAAGCATGGTAAAGTACAATATAACTATTAAGAAACAACCGCTGATCACACAAGTCAAAAGTAATTTAGCGATGATTAAAGGTTTTTAAAAAAAGATATTGCAAAATAAGATATAAAATACTTTTAAATATAATATTATATCAAATAAAAGACTTTTAAATATAATAATATATTAAATATATTAAGACTTACTTTAATTTACTAATTTTTACTCAAACTTTCCCTCTCAAAATCAGTTTTAATGTTTTATACAATGCGCAAATAGCTTAAGCATAATTTTTTTATTGGTTGATTACCGCACATTTTTTGAACCTTTAGTAATTATTATTTTTTATTTATAATCCTTAAATTACCTGGTTTTTTAAAAAAACAATTAAAAATATGTAAGTTTTGATTGTTATTTTTGCAACATGAAAGTTGACTGTTTTATTAAAACAGTGTTTGCAGTTTTTAAAAAAATGGAAAATTTAATGACCAGAAATATATCCAGGTATTACAATTCTTGATCACTTAATTTGAGCTTTGCTAAAGATTTTAGAGGGATTATATCCATGTTAGAAAAGAAAGAAACAATTTTTTACTAATTATATTATAATTCTAAAATATTTTATATTCACATTTATAATACTAAAGTGCTGCTCTACTAAAAAAAAGTTTTTTTGTAGTATAAAATAACTTATATTATAAAGTCAGCAAGTTGTTGGCCATTTTTAATAGTTAAAATGAAATCTCAAGCACTACGATAAAAAATGACTGTTACGCAAAAAAAAAAATTGACAATAACATGTAAGCAAAAAAATCAATCTGAAACTCAAACTTTATTATACAGTGTATTTTGCACAAGAATTTTTGATTTTTCAATATCTAAAATAAAAGAGAAAAAATAATACATTGACAAAAAATTTTAATGTCATTGTAACACCTCCATCAAATTTTTCTCATTGTGTCTTTAGTCTTTACACACCCACACTACTTTAATCTCCCCTATCACACCCATTATTTCATACTAATTATCTTATTAATAATTCTTCTTTCTCTGTGAGCTTGCATAAATTATCTACGTTGAATAACTCCCTATAATAAGCCAACGCTGAACTTTTTAAAGAGAGCTTCTGAAACAATAAAAAAATAAGAAACAGATTACCGAAACCTTATGTACACAAAAAATTTCTTTAACAATACTACTAACTTTTGTTTTAATTGCTGTTGTGGCATTTTCATACATAGCCATGATAACTGTTATCAGTCATTCTTCAACACATAAATACAGAGTTGAGCTCAGTAAATGATAACTTAATGTATTTACCTGATAAAAATGTATTAATTCTTCTGAGGATTATGTTGGCAGATATGGTCAATATGAGTCTCAATAATATGGTTGGTTGTGCTAGTAATAATTTACCTGTAAATATACTGGTAAATACATTAAGTCATCCTTTACCAGTTTTACCAAGCTCAACCCTCATAATAATACCTCAAAAACCACCAACTATCTCCCTTAGTATTTTGTTAAAGCCTTTTCATGCTCTGCAAATGCCATTCCCAATTTATTTTTTAAAGTCTTTCTTGCACTTTCTTTTAAAAATTTCCTTTTTCTGTCCTACAACCAAATTTAATAATAATATTAAAACCTGAATGCATTTTAACAGTTTCTATTATTATATAAAGATTTCAGTTTTTATTATTATATCAAGAACAGTCATCAGCTAATTCGGGTGCTGTCTAATATATTGCCAATTATGAAACTTACATTAAGAACAATCAAGAAAAAAAGTAGTTGAGAAATTTAAATACACTAAACATAAGTCTGTTAAAAAAGCTTTGGTTTGGCAAACTATTTGTTTTTATATGATGCATTGTTATTTATTTTTTTCTTCATATATAAGGATGCCTTCTTTTCACAGAATTACCTGGTAATACAAAACCTGTTCCTGCTCTAAATGATAGCAAAAATTTTATAGTTTCTAGTTTCACTAAAAAATAAAAAGAAAAAAAAATGTACTTAACTAGAACAGTGAGATTAATCTTGATGACAGCTTGATGAATCTTTGAAACAAGGGGCAAATTAAGCAATTGCGAATTTTGATGCGCTATAAAAAAGCCATTTATTGATTTTAGAAGTATATTATCGCCATCGCTAATGTTTATATTCTTGGGTTAAAGTTTTTATGAATTATAAAATTGTACTTTTTGAACCATGAGTGTTACCAAGAAATGCTTGTCATTTATTTATATATGCTTTTGAAATTGATTAAAGGAATATTGCACTTTACTGCAAAAAGTTTTTGCAATCATGTAAATTTAAGTTAAATCTACCCTTGCAATATGTCAAAACTAAGTAGTGGATGCCATTTTTTTAAATTCAAACAAAATGGAATCCATTCGATCAAAGAAATCGACAGTAATCATTTTATTTTAAATTACAACATTTAAAAAATTTTATTTAATTTTACAAGATGATATTGATATGTAAAATTCAGCAAAAATTTATAAATAAGAAATTTTATGCATTGACAAAAACGGTTTTCTCTGGTGTATTTAATTAATATATAATATCCTATGTAATATATAGTATATATAATATCCTATAAAATATATATTTTTTAATTCTATTACCCAAACAAAAGAAAACATTTTAAAAAATAATATTTTGTCTGATATCTTCTTAACTATATCCCACTGACTCTCTATGGGGTTGAAGTCTGAAGATTGGGCTGGCCATTTTAATACAACAATTTTTTGGGTTGCTACCAATTCTTTTCTTGCTTCGAGGTGTGCTTGGGATCATTGTCTTGCTGAAAAATAAATCTCAATGGCTCCACTCCAATGCTCCACTCCACATATGGTTACATTATGTCTTCCAGTATAGTAGCATAGTTGTACTTATCCATAATGCCTTCAACTCTATGAATTTGCCCCATACCATGACCAGAGAAACAACTCCAAACCATTATACATCCGCCTCCATGCTTAACTGTTGGTGATACATATTTGGGATCAAGCCTTGTTTAGAATTTTTTACATAAAGAATCCCATCGCTTCAAAATATAGAAAACTTTGATTCGTCACTGAAGAGAACTTTTCTCTAATCTCTTGCAGTACAGTGTTTGTGACGACTTGCAACATCATTCTAGCATCTATATTTTTCTTACTCAACAATGGTTTTATTGCTGGCTGGTTCGCAAATAAGTTAGTCTCTCTCTGACGTCTGTAAATTGTTCTGTTAGACACATTTATATTATCTAATTCTGCGTTAATTTTTATAGCAGGTTTAAAAGGGTTTATTAATGAAAGTCTCTTTATCCTTGTATCATCTTTTTTTGATGTTTTTCTCGCCATGTCAAGACTTTTTACATTAAATACCGTTCCTTTTTTCTTAAAAATTGTTATTGTTTTTGAAACAACAAATTTTGAAGCACTTAATCTTCTTTTGATTTCACATTGTTTTATTCTATTTTTCTAGGCCCTTATAATTTTCTTTAATTTTAATTTAAATATTTTTACCCTTAACCATAAAAAATATTTAGAATAACTCAAAAAAATATTTAGAGTATTTAATATAGTATAAATAGCATAAATATTTCATGTTGCTTCCTTTAAGTCGCTTGAAATCTAAAAAAATAGCTGGTACGCTAGAAATTGGTAGAGATAAAATTTCATCAACACTCACTTCACGTTATACGCGTTATATATAGAGAAAGATATATAGATATATAAATAAAAATTTTAGGTACAGTATGTTTATCTTTGGCAAATTTGGAAGGCGATGAAAGTTTTGATGCATCTCTGCTTGGTCATGCTGAAGAAATAAGTCAAGATAGAATCTGTGATGATGAATTGATCTTGATAAAAAAGTATGTTTGCTAAATTTCATAAAATAATAACATTTATACTTTTTTATATTTTAGTTTAAAATAGCATTTTCTTGACTTATATATATATATATATATATATATATATATATATATATATATATATATATATATATATATATATATATATATATATATATATATATATATATATATATATATATATATATATATATATATATATATATATATATATATATTAACTTAAAAAGTCCAAAAACAAAAGCAGCTGCATCAATTATATTACGTGGAGCAAATGATTATATGGTTGACGAAATGGAAAGATCAATTCACGATGCACTCTGTATCTTGAAGCGAGTATTGGAATCAAAATCTATTGTTCCTGGTGGTGGAGCAGTTGAAGCAGCTTTATCGATATACTTAGAAAATTTTGCAACTTCATTGGTAATAGTTTTTATGTAAAAATAAGTCTAGTAAAATTGCACATGATCAATTTTTTTAAGTGTTTTTATCTAAAACTATTTACCCGTTTTTTAGTCATCTAGAGAACAGCTCGCTATAGCTGAGTTTGCTAATTCTCTTCTTGTTATCCCCAAAACGCTCACAGTTAACGCTGCAAAAGATTCTGTTGATCTAGTTGCTAAGTTACGTGCTTATCACAACGCTTCACAGGTTGATACCAACAAGAGTCATCTAAAGTGGTATGTGTTTATTGTTTAGTTAATGTGTATAGTGGTATGTGTTTATTGTTTCGTTAATTGTTAAAGTGGTATGTGTTGTTTAATTAATTAAGTGCATTAAAATTGTAATTAAGTAGAACTTGTATTTGTGTGATTATGTAAAATATACTTTATATTATGTATCTATTAATTTTTTTTAACACGTTCTGTTGTATTTTAAGGTGCGGTTTAGACTTGGTTAACGGTGTAATACGAGATAATAAAAAAGCAGGTGTTTTGGAACCAACTATGAGCAAGATAAAGTGTTTAAAATTTGCTACAGAAGCTGCCATAACTATTCTACGCATTGATGACCTAGTTAACATTGAACCGAACAAAAAGGAAAATACAAATACATATCAAAATGCTCGGGCTGCAGGACGTCTCTAAACTTTAATGATCTTTTTTTCTAAAAGAAATCTCTTAAGACTTTAGAAAATTTTTCAAAAAATGGTTCCGTAAAGTTTACGTTTTGTTTTTAAAAAAACATATAGTTAACAAAGTGGAGCAATTTAAATAATTTTTTGGTTTTAAATAATGTTTTAAGACTGTTGCACCTAACATCTAACTGAAGCATATTAAGCAAAAAGTTTAAATCAGGCGGTTCCTTAGGAACTAGTCCCAATAAAAGTGATTTTTTTTAGTCACCCGATGAAGCATGTTAAAATTTCAAGTCAATAAACTCTTAAAATTGTAGAGAAATGATGCGTAATTATTCATTAATTCGATTACTTAATTTTATATTTTGAAAATTATTATGATTAAAAAAACTATTTCAGAAACAAAGAAAATAAGCAGAGGCGTAGAATCAAAAACAATAATTAAGCCGGTTGATCACGCTTAATTTAAAAGTCTATACAGGGATTATCTTTTTCCGGATATTTTTTTCAACTTTTAGTTTTTCCGGATATCCAAAACTTTTTCCATACACAAGTTTAGGTGTTTGAAATTAGATTGTGTAGTGTACAGTGCTTCATAATCCTCTCTTGTGTTCATCTTGTGTTCATCATGTGTCAATCCTCTCTCAGTGTTTCATAATTCTCTCCATCACTTTGCACGGTACAGAGGTAAGAGATACCGGCTTATAATAAAGCTTTGAGTTTGTTTCCTTTTTTTGAAGATAGGAGTAACATTTGATTTACGCTAAAGATCTGGGACATTTCCAGTTTGAAAGGATTGCTTGAAAATGAGTGAAAAAGGTATTGCAAAAGCTTTTGCACAGTTTTTTAGAACACGAGGATGTACTCCGTCAAGTCCCATTGACTTAGTGTCGTCAAGGCAGAATAAGTAGCTTTGTACTGTAGCAGCTGTAAAAAACCCTTCGTCGATTTCGCAAGTTGATTTTGTTTTCTCTTCAAATATTGGTAAAGGTGTTGGGGGTTCTTCGACAAAAACTGAATGAAAATTTTGTTTATCGCTGAAGTTATAAACTTAGAGTCGTTGGTGATGTTATCATCGCTAGTTTCAAGCATACTAATGTGATTATGTACTTTAAGCTTGTTTTTTACGTGTGAGTACAGACGTTTTGGGAATTCCTTCAAACTGCTTACTAGTTGTTGTTCGTAATGAAGGACAGCCGCATTGACCACTTTTTTAACGTGTTTGCATGCAGCCTGATGTTTATTACGTAATTTTGCATGAGAATCTTTACCAGCAACATGTTATTTTGTTCTTGTTGAAGTATACTGCAAAAAGACCGATTAAAAGACTGAGTTTTTCCCATTGATGTATGTCCAAGCGAATTTCCTTTGTTTATTGAGATTAGGCGATCAGGTTTATTAGTGATGATGAGGTCAAGCGTGCTACATGGAGTTGCAACCATGTTATTGTGGTATGTTGGGAATGTTACTAGTTGTGTTAAATAGTGTCTTTAAGACAATCTTGGAATTTGATATCACCGGGAGGTTGTTCAGTAACATGAGCGGCTGTTTCTACACCACCGCCAACATTGCATGATTTATAACTGGTGTGGCTAAAATTAAAATCACCATACAAAAGCATTGTTGAACACTTTAATTTTGGCAATATCTATTGCGCTGCTTTAATTGAGGCAGGAATTTGAGTGAGCGTGTCATCGTTTTTGTCTATTGGGCGATACATACAACCAAGAAGTATTGATTCGTTTTCAAAATGTATTATGTGTCAGATTTGTTCTACGGATGTCGAGGTGAGTGTGACGTTGGTAACCTTGCTGTTAGCGAGACTATCTATGATGTAGATTGCAACACCGCCCCCTCTATTATCACGGTCTGTGTTATGCAGCTGATAGCCAGCAATGGTAGTGTTTGACGTAGCACTGAACCAATTTTCAGAAAAGAATATTACGTGTGGCTATTCAAATTTGTCAATAGAAGTAAGTCTTGCTACAAGTTCATGGAGTTTTTTGCTGTTTATTGAGCATGGGTTGTTTGCCCAGAAGCGGAAGAATTTTATCGAAGGTAACTTTAAACTTGGCGAAGTAGCCTGTGACTGCATGTCTTGTAATTATTTATTTGGCAAATGTTGTTTACATTTTGCTTTGGTTTGTGGGATTGGGCTTATAATATGTGGTTGCAGTTTGCACGCTTGTGAGATGAAGTTTGCAGTGCAAGGGTGCTTGCTGACTAGGTAAAGACATATTTATGTAGTTCATTTGACTTTTGAACATCAATGCAGCAGATTTCTCCGGTACGCTTGTGGATAACATTCTGAAATGGTTTGTCAAGTACATCCGCAGCATATAGTTCGTCGTTAAGTTTTTTCATTTTACTTCGTAGCTCATTGAATGCCCCCTGTTGTGAACGAGTTCGATCTTCACGACAGAAAATTTCTTTGAATTCAGCAATATTATGGTGACTACATTTCTGAAGCACTTCTGATCAAGGTTGTTCATTTTTTAAAGAGACCTTGACTATGTTGACCTGGATTGTGTTGTTTATCTTATGTTATTATGTTGACTATGTTGTCTTGACTTGTTGACCTATGTTGGAGTTATGGTTTGTGTTGTTGACTATGTTGGAGTTATGGATTGTGTTGTTTATCTTGCTAGATTTTATTCTGCTGATGTAGCCTATTTTGACACTGTCAACTCCACATGCATTGAAAAACTTGTTAGCAACTATTATATCGTCGTAATCATCTGATTTGGGTAGCCCTACGATTATGAAATTAGATGCCCGGTTTTGTCGATTTTCAGACTTCCTCAGCTGATTTACCCTTAAGTATGGTTGCAAATGATTCCAACTTGTTGGATAATAGTGCACTCTTTAGCTTTTTGTTAAGCTTGTCTATCCGAGTGTTTAATATACGTACAGATTCTATATTTGTATTGTTCGACATTATCGTTATAAGTCAGGGTTATTAAATCTATTAAATCAATTAGATTAAATAAAGAAATAACAATTAATTTAACCTAGTTTTTTTGAAACTTTTAATTATTTAAGTCTTAAAATACTTAAACAGTTCACCTAATAATTTTAAGATTAAAAGCGAATTTTAAAATAGGAATGATGTTTTACAGTTTTTTTGGCCTTAAAATAAAAACTATAATATTTTGTTTAAAAATTGCTTCATATCTTTTTTACTGACACAATTACCCTATTTTTAAACCTATTTTAGATATTTTTGGAAATTTTTAGCGGTCCCTGATAGCCACGAGGAAAAATATATCAAACTTTTACTTTTTCAAGTAATTAAAATAATTTTTATATATAAAAAAAAAAATTAAAAATTCAATCGCATTGTTTTTTAATACAGATTCAATTTTACAGGTTTTAGGTAATTAAATAAAAAATATAAACTTTTATGTTAAAATCGCTTCATAACTTTTTTCCTAATACCATTGCAGTCATTTTAAACTTATTTTGAAATTTTTTATAAATGTCTAGCGGTCCTAAATAGACATAAGGTGTCTATTCAGGACCCAAAATTTTTTTTGCTTTTAATTATTCCAAAAATTCATGTTTATTTTTTTCCTTTCAACGCAACTCCTAGAGAACAAATAGAAAACAAAATAAAAAATAAAAAAATTTAATAATTGTTTTTTTTTTTTTTTTGCAAAAGGGAACCCATAAAAAGACTTTTTATGGGTTCCCTTTTGGGCCTTTTATAAATCGAACCACGCGTCAGATTATATTATTACCAACAGATTTGGAACGGCAACATTATAACTAACTTGAAAAACGAAAAATTATCAATTTTGTTTAATATGTGAATTTATGATGTGTGTACACTACCTCTTTTCAAGAATAACCTTGATGCTATATTGTTTTTTAATGAATTATTTTTATGCAATAATAACATAGTTATGTAATAATAATGTATGCTTATCCTCTACGCTAGTTGAGCTATAGACGCTATGCAAGAGAGTAACCTCTATGAGATAAATTTTTGACTAGCGTCAAGGTTTTGTGTACCTAAATATGTATGCTTTTTGTCAACCCTCAACGCAGACTCTAGTCCAACAAGCAACATTGATAAGGAAACAGAAAATTTCTGGTTAAATGCTAACCCTCGGTGCTCAGTAATAAGGCCGTAAGGATTTCTGGGAGCTCCTAAATAAGAAATCCTTACGGCCTTATTACCGAGCACCGCGGGTGAGCATTTATAATGTTTGCCTTTTGAATGATAATATATACATTTGAACTTTTATGCTTGCTTAACTAATGGCATAACTAGACTTTATAACATAAATTTTGAATAGAATAATATAATATAGCATAACTTATATGTTTGCTAGACTTATAGCATAGAATGAACATAGTTAAAGTACTTTTTACTATCACTATCGTCTAATTTAATTACTGAAGATATATGATTAGCATATGGTTAAAAGAACTATATAAAATAAAGGTTTTCTCCCACCTATTTGAGATGGGGTGACTTTGGACAGGAGACTTGGGGTGAAATGGTACACTGTTTAATTTCATCACTTTTTAAATTTACAACGTTTTAACTTTTATGATTAATTTTTTTGTAAAAAAAAAGTGAACAAAAAAGTTCTGTTTATGTTTATGATAAGAACTAAAATGTTACTTTATGTTATTGTGTTTGTTTTTTTTCAAAGAAAAAAATATAATTATATAGGATTTCTTTGTTTTCAAATTTTACCCTGATTATTAAAGATAAATTCAACAGTAAGTTTTTTTTTATTGACAAATATTTTTTAGCACATTTTAGGTTCAGTTTAAATAATTTTTTTTAAGGTCTTAACGGCAACCCTTTATAAGTTTATTCGCATTGTAAGTTTTATTGTGGTACCGTCTTATTTTCATTAAAGTTTTTTATTATTTATTTTTATTTGTCATTAAAAAAAAGAATACAATGTCGTGTTATATAAATAAAATCTACATGACCGGGGCTAAAAGAAGACAATATTTGCCTTATCACTATAGGGTTAGGGTTAGGGTTAGTGAATAAAGTAAAACGAATCAAAATTTGCAGTTTAATCTGAATTTTGGAGCTTTGATTGATTTTTACGTATTT